GCATAATCAGGTCCTGCACCTTGAAACCGTGGCAAATTTGTGTGCCAGTCGGCCTGATGTCAAAAAGCCATTGAAGGCAGGTAACGTTTCTCACTAGAGAACTGAAGGCATTCGTTATTCAAGAAAAGGGATTTATACAAATAATTCAACAAAAACATATCAGATCAACAAAGGGGAAAATTTGAACATTTTCTGTCTTCAAGCTTTTAATTTGGTGCCAAAAATGGGTCGCTGGTGTTCGGCAACTCGTTCTTTGATCGCTATTGCCACCCACCAGGTAGGAAAACAGTTGTGTCATTTACAACAAAATATGCTGTTTCTCTTCAAATCAAACCCAGAATTCTTGAGTTAAGCATTAGAATAAGGCAAAGCAGCTTAAGTACTGTCTTTATTTTTGTTAGCTGCGAAGAAAAAGACTGTTATTGTGTCGTTTCGGTAGGACAATTGGTTTGACTGCCGCTCATTGTGCAAGCACAACCACCATAGGCATCAAGCAAATCATTTTTTCACAGCCTTTTTTTTCTGTTTTTGAGTCGGAAGGTATAACAAAACACTTAATGATTGGCCCCTCGACTCTCAATGTTCCCCGAGGTGAAGCCAGAAAACATTTTTCTCACACATGGCTGGGAGTCTGGGTACAGGTGTGCAGGGGATTTCAGGTCAGGTGGCTTGTGTAAGGTTTCAGTTTTTGTTTTGCCATCTGCCATTGCCTAAAATGCCCCACCCACCCATGCATGAAGTACTTGTAGAATGTGTTAAGTTGAGGTGAAATTATTAGTTTTTGTTTTGTGTGGTTCAGCTTGGCATGGCTCCTAGCGGTGTGTGAGAAACAGTGAGTTTTGTTTCCTTGAGACCCTCAGTGTTCCCCTTCTTTGGTTCCTCAGCCAACGGAAAACCACACTTCTCTTGGGGCCAGTCATTTAGTGCTTATTATTTCTTCTTATCAGTTCTGCCCCGAGATTTGGTGTCACTCATATGGGAGACCAGGAGATCTGGCCTGTATCTAAGAAATTCCCGGACCATCCAGGAAAGTTGACATACATGACATACATGTATGTAGATATACATGTACAGTATATGTACATGTATAAATCATAACATTGTATTAATTAGTAAGAGTCATACCTCCACTGGAAGCTTGTGTGCCTGCCAAAAAAAAGAGAGAGAGAGAGAGAGAGAAAGAGAAATTGATTTTACATACATGTATTTTGTCTCATTAGAGTTTAACAAGTACACTAAATAACCATGAATGCAGTTCAGAGTAACCCCTTTTTGCCCCAAGCCCTGAGTAATCAAAGAAAAGACTTTGCATGTAAAATATAAAATTGTAGAATGATTCAATGTTTTATCAAAACATACTCCATCACACAGCGTTTATCAGAATTTATGCAATCAACTCCAGTGGAGAATTGCAGTTGAACCTGGCGTAATAAATTGAACCAAACTGAACAACAAAAACCAATCAAACTCAGCCAAACTCCAATGGTTTGATTGTTTTGCAATTTGTTTGGCAATCAAACACAATCAAGCTCCATCTGTTTGCTGAGTTCAATTACCAAACTCAGTGACACCGACTGCGTTCAATTGATTTCATTTGGGTCAAGAAAAAAAGAATGCTCAAATATCAACAAGCTTTAAGTACATTTCAATAATGTGGGTACCCCTGGGTTGTTGTGTTTCAAGACCACACTAACTTAGAAACCTGTTGAAACTGGGTTTGAATGCCTGGCTTAGTCAAATGATATTCAGTAATAGATCCCAATCACACTTCAAGAGTACAATTGTGTTTGATTGCATAATGGTTTGATTACCGAACATTTGATTGAGTTTGATTGGCCAGACGAATTTAAGTGAGTTTGATGTTGTTCGATTGCCAAACCCAATCAAGATCAATTCAGGGATTGAAGTTTCGTTGGGTTTGATTATGGAACATTTGATCGATTTTAATACACTAAGTATAAACTACATGTATTGATTGCATGAAGTATCGATTGACAATTTTGCTGTACATTTTATTAAGATAATGTAAGATTACTGCTCTATGTATGTCACAAAAGGTTATTCTTCGACATTTTTTCCTTTCATTTTTGACTAAAAAAATATACACATCACAAACCTAATAAAACTTACTCGATTTCTTTTACAATCCACTAGGCCTAATACCAATCGCGACAATGATCCACTTAACTTCCTGATTTTCATGTGAACAGTACAGTGTGCATGTCATGCGAGAACAACAGACACTTTCTTGGAATTTCTACAATTTGAAGTCGTGGATAAGCAAAACTTTCGATATCTTTGCGCTACCGAGTTCCTTAATTCACAGACTAGCCCGCAGTTTATCGAAACAAAAGTTGATCATTCAAAATCAATTAAAAAACAAAAGCGGTTTACGTGCTCCATATGGTCTCAGTGGTAAATAATCGGCTCGCTGTAATTTTCTTGGCAATTTGCCCGGTAAACGCCACATACACAATATTTCTTCCACGATTTATTTTTATTTTCGAAGTCCATGACGGTTGACTGAAGAAACTAAAAGATTTCGCACACTAAATTTGACTTTATCCAAGAAATAAAGGAAGATTGCGACCCAAGGAAGTTTATAAAAAAAGCTATGAGCTCGCCTGTAGCGTGAGACAAACCAAATGTTTTGGCAAAATGACCGCTCGATCGTCTACCTCAAACGACTTGGCTCTTGTTATGTTTTTGTACAAAATA